CACCCACCCCCACGACCGCCTCAACAGCTGCCACCAGGGAGGAGTCCGCCACGCCCGCCCAGGGGGCCAGCCCCAACAGCGAGCCCCAGGAAACCCCTCCAAAGCCAGCAGAGGACAAGAAAAAGGATTAGCCGTTCATGGGCCTCCTCGTCTGCGCCGGCTCCTGGTGACCACCACCCCGCCTCCCTGGCCCCCTCGCCCCCCTTCTCTGTCGCCCCTTCCCTGGACAGATCGGGCCCGGGCGGCGGGAAGCCCCCCTTGGGCCAGAGCCCAGCGTGTCATAGGGGTGCTGGGGCAGGCCAGGGCTCGTTGTTTGTGGAGGCGCCGTCTGTCCGTCTGTTCCTGTGTCTTCAGCCACCTTGCCCTCCCCGGCGCCGTGGGGAATCATGGTAAAGCCTACGTGGCGCTGCCAGGGGCGGGCCGGGTACAGGAGGGGCCAGGGCCCCTCCGTGGGACGCCCATGGCCATCCATCATCTTGTTCGTCGACCCCTGACTGCCCCCCCGACCGCCACCCTTTAACACAGTCTGGATTTAATAAATTCATATGGGTGTTTAACTTAAACTCAACCACTCCCTCCTCCTGCCTCCTTCCTCCTCCTCTGTGGCCTGGGAGACCAGCTTTGGTCTCCTGAGCCTGGGAGGGAGCCCTTTGGGTACAGGACAGGGAAAGGTGGGGACAGTGACCCTCTAGAGAGCCAGATCCTCCCTCAACTTCCCTCCTCCCAGCCCTCCCAGGGACTGCTGCAGCCTTCCCTGTCCCTATTTCACGGACCCCGTGTAAGCTGCTTGTGGCCGCGCTTAGCGCAGCGACACCCACAGGCTTGACTGGCTGGCCAGGGCTTGGTGCTGATGTCTCTGGTCCCCGCGCCGCCAGGCAGAGGCAGGGCCAGGGCACAGAGTACGGCCAGGCCCGGCTCACAGGTAGAGACACCCACCTTGATAGATGCAAGCACTTCAACAAGTTCCTGGAAAACAGAGCTGAAGTATTAGCTTATTTTGGTGCAAACAAGTTTGAATTCCTTCCATAACCCACCACCCCCCGAGGCTGTGGTAGGGGGACAGGTGAGTCTACAAGAGGCACTCAGAGTGCTGCCTGGCTGCCACGTGCTGCAGGTGTGGGGGTGGCACTAGCATCCCCAGGGCTGCCTGTGTCCAGGATGCAGCTGAGCTTAGCCTGTGGCATGTGCTCCTTCCAGCCCAGTCCCGGGGTGCTGGGACTGCTCACATGCTTTACGGGGGAGCTAGCTGAGACCTCTGGGCTTCTGTACTCTGAGGTGTCAGGACCAAACATGCCAGATTGACTGTTTTGAGGATGGTCTCCTAGCACTCTGGGAGACGAGACCCAGGGCTGAGGAACACAGCAGGTCCCTTCTGCTTCCCCACCTGCAGAGCCAGCCTTCAGAAATCGTGAGGTCCCAGGGAGAGGTGGGCGCCCATGGAGCCCTCCACATACACAGAACTGTGCCTCAGTCCCCCTTCCCCCTGGGTGCCACGGATCTGCCCCGTTCCCTCCTCTGCACATCGGTCCATGGCTCCCATTGCCCTTGAAGAAACCACAGACTCCGCACCATGGCTTCTCTGCTGGGCCCCTAGAAACCGAAGTGGGCCTGGGACCAGCAGTTAGCATAATGGCTATGTCTCTGGACTCCCACGTAGTCGGCCGCGGTTCGAATCTCAGACCCAGTGACTTAAACTCATGCCAGGCGCGTGTGCATGTGTGCCCAAGATCCCAAGAGGAGAAAGGAGGAGAAGGGATTGTGGCATGGCCATCCCCCCCGGGGGGTGATTTCTCATTTTCTGTCTCTCTGTCTCTCTCTGGCGAGCGCACGCACCCTATAGCAAAAACCTCTCCAAAAAAAAAAAAGAAAAAACGAAGTGGGCCAGAGCCAGGCACAGGCCCTTGGGACGTGGGCTCTCCATCCTCATCACCCCAGCTTCCCCCCTCTCCCCAACAGCCTTGTTCCCAGGCCTTTGGCAAGACCCATCGGCTAGACTTTGGGTCTTACCTCAACTTCCCCTGAGAGCGCCTGGTACTGGTCTCAACCTCGGGTTCCCACCAGCCTCCTTGCTGGTCTCCCACCCCTCCCATTGGCCCTCAATCCAGGAGCTAGAGGGAACGTTCTAGAACACACTTGACCCTGCCTGTCCTCTGCTCACAACCTACCATAGCTTCCCAGTGACTTGGGAGAAGAGCCCAGGTTTGTAACTGGTCTAGTGAGCAAAATTCAGGGAGGTTAGGGAGTTCTTAACCCTACAGTCTTGGCTCCCTTGCTTTATCTTGGGACAACCTTTCAGCTTCCAAGCTTCAGCCTGCAACTCCCTGGTGCGGCAGCTCCGGTGTCTCCTCCAGGACGCTCACCCTGATCTCTGAGCTCTCATAGCAGCCCTTCCCATTCTGGGTCATTGCTGTCTGGAGACAGTTCAGTCTCCTCCAGTGACTGAGACCCATGAGGACATAGCTGGTGTCGTCATGGTCACTGCCTCCCTAGCACAGGGCCGAATACAGGAGGTGCTCCAGGAATAACAGCACACTTACACAGACACATGGACGTATCCGGAGATGTGGACCTTGGTAGGTCCCATCTTTAGACACTGGTGTAGCGGCTGATGTGTGGTCAGTCACCAGCACCTTCCTCAGGTGGGGCTCTGTGCTGGGGGGCTCTGTGTACACAGCAGAGAACTACAGTCCCAAGCCTGTCTTCACGGGACTCAGCCCAGCGGAAATCTTGAGTGCTGAGGATAGCTGACATGTCCTTCCAGTTCACTCAACAAACATTTATTTATTTTATTATTATTTATTCATTTATTTTAATTTGACCAGAAAGAGACACACAGGGAAAGTGAGAAAGCAAGCTGTCAGGGCTGGGACTTGAACCGCGGTTTGCCACGTGTGAGTGTCCAGCTTCTTAACCACCATTCCACCTGCTGGCCCCACTCAACATTTATGAGGCCTGACGTTTGCAAGAGGTGAAGGGAATCAGGTGGACTCTGGGTCCTAATAACAGGAAGCATTATTTGTCGCTCGTTATCACAAATCAGGCATTAGGTGTTGTAAGTGGTTTTTCTCATCCATTATTTAATATCTGATGTAATTCAAATTTCATATTCAATGCCGGCACCACTACTGGCCCATCGCTCGTTCTGTCAGTCACTCCATTTGAGCCTCCTGGCTGTTCCTGAGACGTAAGCCCAGCATGCTCCCTCGGGGCCTTTGCAATGGCTACTCCTGTGCCTTGAACACCCCCAGATATCCCATGGCGAATGGTCACACATCACAATCCCTTCTCCACCTTCCCTGCCTTTGGGGATTTGGAGCACACGCGTGCACGTGTGGCTGGCATGTTTCTCAAGCTGGCAGGTCTGGGGTTGGAGCTGCGCAGTTGGTCCTGTGAGATCCAGCCGCCTTAACCACCAGGCCGCACAGCTGACCCACCACACTCGTGATGTGTGTACTGTCTGCACTGTGGTGGAATTGAGAATTGAGACCATCTGGCCCTCAAAGCTTACAGCTTAATACGTTTGCTGTCTGGCCCTTTGCAGAAAAAGCCTCCATCCACATCAGCTGAAGGCCTGGGCCACCCTCTGAGAAAAGTCGCTGTCCACTATTCTGCCTCCCACGCAGGTGCCAGGCCTGAGTGGGTGAGTGCCGTCCCATCACTGCTGCACACAGCAGGTGCCCGGTCAGTGTGTGGAATCCATCTGTCTACGAGCGTCACAGAAGAGGTGGAATATCTGATTATACCCAAGCAGACTTGACTTGTGGTCCGAAGGTGCCCAACGTCTGGGTTGGAACCTGATAAGCCTGCAGTATCTCAGGATCATGGGAGGCTTGGAACGTGATCTGGCCAAATGGCTGCCCCCTCTCTGAGCCTCAGTCTCCCTGGCAACAAGCCTAATTCTATCACATGCTTCTGTCAGGTATGAGGCATCTGAGCCCCCCAGATAAGCGCTCTGCCTAGTGGCTAGGCGCAGGCTTGGCATGCACACCGGGGCTCCACGGGTCCCATTCCCAGACTGAGTTACTGAGTGAAACTTTGAGCTGAGTTTACTTATAGGTAGCTGGGAGGGGGAGGGGAACAAAACAACGAAACATCCATCCATTCATTCAGTGGACATGTTACTGGGCATCTACGTGTTCCAGGAGGAACAAAACAAGGAACAGAACAGAAACCCAGAAGCTCACGTCCCAGCTTTAAATGTTCATTAAATGTCTTCATCCCCGACAGTTGACGAAACTGATGTAGTGAGACCTTGGAGATTATTTCATAAAGATCATTATCAGTGGCAGCTATGTATCCCGGGTAGCTTCCCAGCTCTGAGAGTTCCCTGCCAGAAAACTCAGGTTCAGGTCCCACTGGGAGACCAAGGAAAGGGCCTCAGTTGCCAATTTGCTCAATGGGTAGGGCGTGAGTGGCCAGGCAGGCCCACGGCTGACTGGGACGGCTTAACCTGCAGCAATGCCCGCCTGGCCCTTCCAGAGAGCCCAGCCTCCCCTTCCCGGCCGGCCCCGCCCCCACGGTCACGTGCCGCGTGGGGGTTTTCCCGTTCCCCTGGCGCGACGTCACGGCGGGGTGCCGACCAATGGGCGCTCAGGCCGGCGGCGCCGGGGAATTCCGCC